CTGTGAATTCTTAAAACGCTTACTATACAAAAACGTGGTCAAGTTGTTTAAAAAATTACTTTAAGCGTGGATATATATATATATATATATATATATATATATATATATATATATATATATATATATATATATATATATATATATATATATATATATATATATATATATATATATATATATATATATATATATATATATATATATATATATATATATATATATATATATATATATATATATATATATATATATATATATATATATATATATATATGTATATCTGAGGAGTCTTTATTGATGAAACACACGGTTAGCACGGATCCTTATAATGCCTACCTAGCTGTCCCAAGAACGCAACTTATACGGAAATTTAGCGTACTTATCAAGGTACCCTGTGATGCTAATTTTGAAATCATTTAATTTTGTCTGCGGAAAATAATTTAATTTGAATGTTCAAATAAAGTCAAGTTTTGACTTCATAGTGGGCCAATAAAAACACTTGTAGAATTTGAACCACTCAATATAATTTGATAACAATAGGTGCAAATGTAGCCAATAGTCACACCAAACTATGAACAAAATTTCAGCCTGATTGGATGACTGGTGTAGGATTTATTGCAGTTTTAGTTGAAGTTTTATCAGTATTTTGCTGCTTATACCTCAAAGCATTACCAATTATTTAAATTTCAGTCATTATTTTTAAAATAACGGTTACATGAGTGTTCTACTATGTAATACCAACAATTTTTGTTATAATTATTTTATCGGTACATGTACAGTTTTCATTTTATAAGCCAAAATAGTTGACCAGGCCTTCAAAGTGGAGGGATCAACCCCTCAATTTCTAAAATAATTTCTAAAATAATTGCCTATATTTCTAAAACAAAAGGTCCTTGCAGAAAAAAGTAGGTAGGTTATGGCTCCCTTGACGGCCATGTATGCATAACATGAATATACCAACGTTTCCTAAGGTATAAACTACTGCCAGAATGCAAAAAAAATCTAAAAAAATGGTTAAGAAGGATTTCTTGGGATACCTACATAGAAAATAAAAATATTTATCTGAAAACAGAACAACTATGAAAAAACCAAATATTTTTTATATTGACAAAGATAATTTAAAAAATTTAGATAAGTTAAGATATCTGACCAATACAAAGTTTGGAGGGCAAGTCAGAAAAAAATTACTCTAACTGAATAACTAATTAGGTTGAAGGGTTGTTTTGAAATAAAACAACCCGTGTGACAAGTCTCATTAGTGTATAAAGTGTGACAATTATCAATAATGTAATTTCCTTACAAGTAAATAGTTTAAACAATTGTTTCCTTGTAAGGAAAGAACTATTCAAGAATTATTTCCTTGTAATTTAATATTACCTCAATTAAATTAAGTAAATATTTCCTTTATTTTAATAGTTTTTAATTAATAATATGTGTTACTATGTTAAGTGCATTGTTATCAAATATAAATTTAGGTCAATTTTTGTAAAAGGCAGAGTTTAGTTTAGTAAAGTCAAAATGAATTGCCACGATGCCAAATCAAGCAAAGAATTATGATGAAAATTGAAAGTTTGTGTGCTTGTTCTGTCTGAAAAAATGTTTAAGACTATGTCTTAAATGTTTAAGCTTCCTACTTTTCAAGCAGATCAAATATGCCAACTGTACAGGACCAAGATCAATATAAGTGATACTCAGATACCAAAAGGATTCTACGAATCGTGTAGAATTACTTTGTGCAGGAAACAAGAAGGGAAAGAAGTTGCACTCCCTCCTTTGTTTGATTTTTAGTCAATACAAGTGAGACTTAAAACATAAGGCACGATGTGTTGTGTTCTAATATGCCGAATTGGTCATTCAAAGCTGCAAGAAAAACATCCTCTTATAGAGCAAACCACTATTGAAAAAAAACCATAGGTGCGTTGCAGCAAATGTCTCACCCCTTTAAGAAAAGGTTTGCCGCACCAATACTCACAAATAAATTTAAGGGAAAACATTCAATATTTAGCAGCAAAAGATGCCAAATCATCCGAGCAAATCGCATCTAAAGTTATTTCCAATAAAGAATTATTTCTGGAAGGAACTATTCTACTGGCTAAAGCATCCGGCAGGCCTCCACTTACAGTTACCCCTGCTAAATATTTATACTTAAATAATTTTAACATATATATTGAAATAAAGTCTTGACTATTAAGAAATAACACTAGATGGATTTCAAGAATTATATTTTTGACAAGTTTCTAATTTCTTCAAAAACAAATAATTAGAAAGTTTTACACAAACTTACTAAACAAAGTTTATTGTAACTATAAAATATGTATGTTTTGGTTTTAGGTCAAAGTAGTGCGCAGACACCATCAAGTGCTCCAAAATTGACAACTGTAGCCCTTGTATATATGCAATTAAATATGGGCCTGTCAAACAACGGGTTAAAGAAACTTGTTAGAGCTATAAACAAAACATCAAGCAGGAAGATGGTAGAGCGAAAAAAAGACTTGGTCAACAATTGAGCGATTTCTTTACTTGCAGTGACTTAAAAATCACAGACGAAAAAACAGATTTTTGTACAGTTAATGTTGTTGCTCACTGCAATGATTTATCAAGTCTTGTGAATCATGTTATTCAGTCCCGCAAAATTTCTGGTGGCTATTTTGTTAAGCTCGGAATTGATGGTGGTAAAAGTTTTCTCAAGTTTTGCCTAAGCATTGTTGATACTGCGTTAAGGGATGAAACCAGCTCTCTGCACCAACAACAACCTCTCACTCAAAGGACTGGTAAAGACACTGGAGTCAAGAGACAAATTGTTGTTGGGGTTTCAGAAGATTTGACAGAAACACACTCCAATATTGAACAAATCTGGTCACTGATTAATGCAAATGGAGTTAAACTAATTTTGGCTTGTGATATAAAAGTTGCAAATATAATTTGTGGTCTTCAAACTCATTCAAGTACGCACCCTTGCACTTGGTGTGATGTCAAATCCAATTGTCTTGCCAAATCTGGAAACTTGCAAACACTGGGCTCAATTAATTCAAGCCTTGAGTCTTTTCAGCAATCTGGGGGGGGGGGGGTTGTTGCTAATGCAAAGCTGTTTGGCAATGTCATTCAAAAGCCAATCATCTGCGGGCCTGTCAATGTTTTGATTTTTAAAAACATTCCACTGATGGAATTGGATCTTCTCTTAGGATCTTCCACTTTGAGGGAAATGAATGTGGGAAGCTTCTTAAATATGTGAATATGCTGCAGCAACTTGCTGAGACAAACATGTTTCCCAATATTGTGTACATAATTGAAGCATTCAAAAGATTCAATTTAGTTGTCAAGACTTGCTTTGGATACATCCTTCAGCCGGATTTCGCTGAAAAACTTGAAAATTTCAAAAAGTGTTACCTAATGATAACTAGTGCAAGCATAACGCCCAAAATTCACGCCACCTTCTACCACATCAAGTGTTTCAGTCACAAAGGACCCCCTTTAGGGTCCTATAGTGAACAAACTGTCGAAACTCCTCATCAAGATTTTTATCACTATTGGTCGATGTAAAAGCAAAATAATAATCATCTAGAGTACAAAGAAAGATTGTTGCGCTGCATAATTGATCTAAACAGTAAGCATCTTTAAAGAATATCATTTGAGTTATTAGAAATTAGGCTGCTGAAATTCATATTTTACGGCATATAATGAATATTTTCACCATTTTTAAAAGTAGTATTATAGAGTTTTTGTATTAAAAGTGTACATTGAACTATTTATTAATAATCTTTTTGTGGAGAAAATCAAAAAAACATTTCTTAAAATGTAATTAAATATTTGATGGTAATACAATGTAAAAAATAGGGTTTAAATAGTTTTCACTTCATTTTAAATGTAAATGTATTTAAGGAGGTCAATACAAAATATTTTAGGAGATCTACTTTTGTTTTGTTTTACTAACTGGTAGTCCTTTGACCAGGTTTTGCACTTTTCTTTTAGCTTTTTTTTTTGGCAGCAGTTTATACCTTAGGAAATTTTGGTATATTCAAGCAAAGCATACATGGCCGTCAACACCGGGGAGGCTAGGGGGTCATGTCCTTCTCTACTTTTTTTTTTGCGAGGACCTTTTGTTTTAGAAATATTGGCAATAATTTTAGAAATTATGGATTTTATTTTAGAAATTGAGGAGTTGACCCCCTCCACTTTGAAGGCCGTGTCGACACTATTAGCATAAGACTATTTAAATCACGCTTTAAGTAGAAAGTCACTATTTTGGTCTATAAAACAAAAACTGTACGTATACCGATAAAATAATTATAACAATCACTCATGTAACCGTTATTTTAAAAATAATGACCGAATTTCAAAGTAATTGGTAACGCTTTAAGGTATAAGTAGCAAAAAACTGACAAAACTTCAACTAAAACTGCAATAAATACTACACCAGTCATCCAATCAGGCTGAAATTTTGTCCATGTGTGTATATATATGTGTGTATATATATGTGTGTATATATATATATATATATATATATATATATATATATATATATATATATATATATGTGTATATATATATATATATATGTATATGTATATGTATATGTATATGTATATATATATATATATATATATATATATATATATATATATATATATATATATATATATATATATATATATATATATATATATATATATATATATATATATATATATATATATATATATATATATAATACCTGCATGCTACTATCATAATTTTTTAAGTCCAATTTATTATTTATTTTTAGCATTTGATTTTGTCTAATCTTCTAGATTTCTGATACTTTTATGACTGGTTATTTAAATTAATTTTCACACTAATTTAATTTAACCAAGTGAAAAATAATTTAAATAACCAGTCATAAAAGTATTGCAATCATTTTTAAATAAAAGTTTTGTAATATGTTATTTTATATTTTATATATAATATATTATATCTTATATATTTTTTTGTATATATCAATCTTTTATTAATTCTCTATTTAGGTTTCAAAAATTTTTCTTTCTCCCCAACACAACTGGCATCATTATTTGAAAGTAATATAAATGCTGTTGAACATGATTTAGAAAAAATTAGGAATTTAAAAGAGGAATATTCTTATACTGAACACAATAAAATTGACGAATCTAATGATGATGATTTGAGCCATTACACACTTGAAACAGAAAACGGTCTAAAAGTCCTTGAGACCACTTACACCATTAACCAAAAAGCAATATACCACGACTTTGATAGATTAAAAAAATTGAAAGCAGCTGCTTACGAAGACGATAAAAAAATTTTATTAAGTGATAAAATTGATGAGTCTGTATTGTATACATATAAAATTTTGCCAGAAACATCTTACTTGGGAGATATAAACTTTGATGATTTGCACTATGAATCTAAAACAAAACAAAAGCTGATGGCTTCGGAAACGACATTTGATGAAAAAAATGCTTTAGGTTTTCTTAATTCCTCAATATCAAATCTTATTCAACCAATTGATATGACAAATAAACATTTTAATCTTCCTGATGATTTATCAGATTACCCACTACATAAATCTTCTACTGAAGATGAGCTTAAAAAGTTTAGTTTTGAAAACTCAAATGGACATGAAATTGAGAATGATATTGATTTGTTAGTAGAAAAAGCAGAAAATATTATTGTGTCTTTTGAAAATGAGCTGACAAAAAATGTTGTAGAAATCAACTCTGATTTGCCATTAAAATGCTCCTGCTCTGGTTCACAAAATTGTCAATGTTCTTTAGAAGCAAGTATAAATTCATCCTGTTTGTCAGACAAAGTTTCATTTGACATTAAAACAAGTTTTGAAAATGATGAATTAGACAAACTTTTAGATGACCTAGAAACTGAAATGATTTCCACAAACACTCAAAATGCTCACTCTTCAATTGATTCTATTCCTAATGACAAAAAAAATGGTAATCAAGTTGAATCTTCTGCAAAAACAATAATTCATTCGGAATGCAACTCTAGTTGTAATATTTTAGATAAATTATGCAGCAACACAGAAGAGACTTTAAAATTACTAAAGGAAGGAAAAATTTCAACTGAAGACTGTATTAAGGAAAATCATAATAGTAATGAACTTGATTTGGCTGCTAAAGCCAATGAAAATGCTATATTATCATTAAGTTATGATGCTCCAATTAGAACATACATAAAGGAATTGTATTCCAATCATGATCCAGTTAATCAAACTTTTAGTGCTGTTGTTCATGAGGATGTATTAACTAGTACTAGCTCAATGCCATCTTCATATCAAAACGAAGAAATTGCTAATTTAGAATGTTTAGGATCAAATTTACAAGATTGTTCAGAAGAATGTTCTATAAAAACTAATGAGGATGTTTTAATGACAGCATCTAAAGAATCTGTTAACCCTTCTTTTACATCTAATACTGCATGTTCTGATGGAATTTTTGAACAGGATTGCTGTGAAGATATATTACCACATGAATCTCTTTCCTTACATACTACTATTGTGGATGAAACACAATGTGAGTTATTAAATCAACAAGTAGATTCCTCTGACTCATCTAGTCTTAACTTTATTGAAAATGAGATTGCGTCATTACCTTCAAGTTCTAGCCAAACTCGTCATGTGCATTTTTCTCTTGATGCTGAGCAACAAGCAAGAGAGGAGCAACATAATCATCCAGTTGAAAATAGTAAGTACTTTGATTGCTATATTTATAAAAGCATTAGCAGAAAATTTTTGTATTTCTTCATGTTGTTATTGTTTTGCAATTACATTTTTTGTTTTTAAGCAAATTTTCATTATTAAGTTTTGCTTTAAAACAACTTTTTATATAAACTAGATCTTATTGAAACCAGCAGTGTGACAACTCAAATAGTTCAGCCTCAAGGATCACTAGGATTCTATGCACCAACATGGATACCAGATACGAATACCAAAACTTGTATGAGCTGTGATACAAAGTTTACAGTTGTCAAGCGCCGACACCATTGCAGAGCTTGTGGAAAGGTATGTCTTTTGCACCACATTGTTATGTGTAGTTATCATGAAGTTTAATAAAACCAAAAGAATAAATAATGAAAAAGACTTTTTGAAAAAAATATTTTAATGGTAAATTATTGGATATATGTAAAAAGATATTTTAAATAAAAAAGTGCTTAATGCAGTAGCTTAACGCGATATTTGACGTCATAAAATTATCTTTATTTTTTTTTATAGACGTTAAGTGTTTTAACTACCACAATAAATAAATAACCGCTAACTAGTTCAATTTAACAATTAACTCAAATAACTATAAACGTTTTAAATGTAAATTTATTATGAAAAGTTTGATATGTTTTTAATAGACCTCCTCACAGTTCCGATAATTTAGTGCGCGCGAACATTTAACAGTATGTCATTGTTCCTTTTAAGCAGAATCGCATGAAAGAAAGTAAATACACAAATATATTATGAAAGCATTCTTGAAAGAAACAGTTGTTTACCTGAGATTTCTTTACTTTTATTTATAATAAAAGTATAGATTTTGAATTATTTAACTTTATTTTAACTATTTTAAGGCTAAATTTATATTATTTATATATTTATACTTTTTATATGTTTGTTTTAAAGGATATATATTAAAGAAATAAAAGCTCTTAAAGAATACTCTTTATCTTTTGCATTTCACACATTTCGAGTGTGAAATTACCACGTATTATTAAATATGCGCGCATGAAGTTATCGGAACTGTGAAGACGTCTATTGTTATTTTATTATTAATTTTAGTTCAATATTATTTAGTAAATATATATATATATATATATATATATATATATATTTTAATTATTTCTGAAATTTGTTTTTGAATAATTATTGTTTATAAATCGTTATTGAATAAAAAATAATTCTTATTTTTTTTATTTTTAAAAATTTCTGGTGTAAACAAAAAATATTAACATTGATAAACAAAAACCCAGGTTAATTATTTAAACAGCAATTTTGTTTTGACTAGCAAAGAATAACTTAGGTTTTTAAATATTTTTTAAATTTATCTTGCTTAGCATTTCAACTTAAAATTAATTGCTAGAAAAAGGTAAGATACATCGCGATAAAAAGTTACAATTATTTTTAACGTAACAAATATCTTTACAATATGTAAAGATATTTATTACTTTGTAATAAATATTTTTGTACTAGGTCTTAGTTATATGCATGTAGATGATTTTCACGAATTTTTTAAAAATATTTTGCGATGTCCGAGAAAGTTATGGCCATTAGCATTTTGGTTAAAACCCTAAAATACAGAAAATATTTATTTCCTTTATTTTCAAAACAAAGATTCCAAATTGATAAAACTTTAAAGTAAAATAGTTTTCTTGGCTTTCAGTCAAGACAAAAACAATACTAATAAAAGTTTATGGTTTTATAAAAAGAAAAAAGTCAACTTTTATGTTTTTTAATGTTGATAGTTTTGCATTTGTCACTTCTGTGAAAATCCCGAAGTGCGTCAAGGCATAAATATTTGTTGTCCAAATCTATTGTCATAATGCTTAACAAGACTTTATCACACACTGAAAATTGTGCTAAAGTATGTCTGGCTTTCAAAAAGGAACAGATATGGTGCCAGCTAGAAGAGACTCGATACTACGATGTAAATAAATAATTTAATGTAAAAATAGAAAAAATAAATTTAAAATGAAGTTTTTTGGTAGTTTTCTATTTTAAATTATCTCTGGTTAACTGTTTAAAATGACATTGTATTGCTCTTTTTATATGAGTCTGATTTGGGTTATTCATAAAATTTTTTTTTAAAAATGTTAAATTTTAAATAATCCAGATCATTTTTGCGCAATAAAGCAGCTGAAAAACATGGTCTTTTCAAGGATTTTGACAGAAACATTAAAATAACTATAACTTTCTTGGATGTTGCAAAATATTTTTCAAAATTTTTAAAAATTATGCCCATGCATACACCTAAGACCTTTTACAAAAATGTTCTTGGAAATTTTTGTTCACCTTCTTGGTAATTCCATGCCTATTTTATATTACAAATTTAAAGTTTTTGAATTTTACAAGAAAAACCAAATTTTGAAATTAAAAATTCATATTTTAATGATAAAATTAAGTATTTTAGAATAAATGACTTGTTTTTATGATATTCTTATTTTTATAATAGATGGCATTATTAAGTTGTTTACAGTTATGCTAATATTATCCTATTATTTAAACCAGGCTGAAGTTGCTATTGTTGTGTAGAATAATTTATTTAGAAGCCATTATATTATTATTTTATAAAATCTGTATTTAATTTTTTTTTTTCAAATAAGTAGTTAGTAAATCATCATTAAGTTTGATTAAAAATGATTAAAGCAATTGATTTAACTACTTAAGTAATTTAATAATTTTTCAAATTTTATTTATAAAATTTTGAAATATTATTAAGACTTTTTTTCAATACTTTTCCTTCGCACAACCAGGCTTGGTCGGGAAGCGGGAGCGATCGCTCTCGAATACTGAACACAGAAATTATATTTAGTTGTAAAAAACTGGCCAGGTTTTTTAGTCGTTTTGAGAACATTTAAGTTTATTTACGAAACAAAAAATTTTTGTTTTACGGACATAATGGAAACATAAACAACTTGAATGTTCTCAAAATATCTTGGTGCGAAAGAATAAAAAGAATATTCACGGACACTAAAAACCTGCCAAATTAATGAACAAACTAATTCTATTAGTTCAAAAATACGCTGACTAAGCGAAATAAAGTTTTAGAGTATTCTGTTGAAATGTTTTAGAAATTGTATTATTCACGATTTGTTACGTTTTGAGATTTCTAGCATAAATTGTTTTAAGAATATATATTATTTGTTTACAAAAATAAATGTTTTAAATATATATTAATTAAATTGTCAAAATTTTAAAAGTTTATTATAAATTATAGATTTTATTAGTATATTCTTATTTTTTATTTAAAAAGTATGTATTCTTGATGTAAATGTAATTGTGTTTGTAAATCTGTTTTTTATCGTAATGTATCTTTTAAAGCAATTTTTATGATTTAAACAAAAGACTTACTAAAATATTTGAGTTTTCAATAAAGTTATAATCGTCCAAATTAATAAAATTAATTATGTAACAAACATATAAGAAGTTTCTGGTTACTAAACATAAACAATGCATACGAAGTAACTCGCGGATGAACAAGCACCGCGTACAACAGAACACAAATATTTATAGCAAATAACTAGATACAAAGAAAAGTTTCTAGATATTGGTTTATTAACTCTAATTACTTTCGCTTAAGTTGCCATTCTTAAAACTCGTTATACTTTTTTCTGCTTTAAATACTAATTAAAATTAAAAAACCCACTCACTAAACATCATCAGCGATATTGTGAAGCAGTTTCCCTTCCTCGTCATTAAGTATTTTTAACCTTTTTAGTTGATTTCTATCTTGTTAATTTAATTTCTATAGTAATTCAATGATTTAATTATTTCATTTGTTTATCTTACTAAGAAGAATTGCTTAAATATGTTAAACTTTTCAAACAACGCCAAACATAAAATAGGTATTAAAAAAATTAACTTTTTTATTTATAAAATAATTTAGCTTAAAAAAACTAAAACTTGCAATCTTTGTTTAATAAAGAATATTTGTTTCCTTTTTTAAACAATGGTAAGATGTTTCTTTACATAAAAAACATCGCTTAATTTTATAAAAAAAATTATAAAAGCGATGTTTCAAAAATATTTGTTCTAAACGTAATTTATTTAGCTTTAAGTTTTTTCACGTTTAAAGATATTTTATTTGCCTAATTTTTTTTTTTGTAATTGTCTCTCATTGGTCCAATTAATCTTTAGCGCTTTTTTTTTTGCTGGTTAAAATGTTCTCAAAACGACTAAAAAATCTGGCCATCTTTTCACAACTAAATATTATTTACGTGGTCAGCAATCGAGAGAGATCCCGCTTCCCGACCAAGCCTGCACAACTTCAACCTAATAAGTCACTTTTTAGCCTCCCTGGAAATTTTTAAAGATTGACAATACACCTTTTGATACCCCAATAACCACTAACCTTAAGTTTCCTTTAGTGTCCTTTTTATTACGCATAGTGTATGATATAACCGCAAATATATATGGGCAATTCCACTGCGGAAAATGAAAAATTAGTGATCAAAATTGTAAAAAAAAATTTAATAATTTTTTTTTTAACATCTTCACTTTCAACAAGGTTACAAGATTGTAGAGCAAGATAACAATTGACAGACAACTTAAAAGATTGATAATTATATGAATCAGAAAAGCAAGATAAAGGAAGCGAATTCCAAAGAACTTTGAACGAATTCCAAAGAACGTTTGAGGAAAAAAACTAGATAAATAAGAGTACTTAGGAACAGAAAAAAAAATAAGACTTAATTGAATGGCGAGTAACACGAGAATGAATTTTAGTAGTTGACACAAGAGACACTAGCTCTTTAGAGTAGTGCCCAATATAGTATTCAAAAAAAAGAGAAAGAGAAGCAACATAATGATGTGATAATGGTTGGAGGTTTGCTACAAGAGCAAGTCCAACTATGTTTACAATGCGTTGTATTGTAAACATAGTTGTTTACAATACAACGCATTGTAAACATAGTTGGTTAAAATGTGCATCTTCTCTAAAAGAGAAAGAGCATCATTAGAAGATCTGCCCCAGATATGGCAACAGTATTCCATACAAGGAGGTATTTGAGATTTATAGAGATAAAGAATAGAATCCGAAGTAAGAAAGTGTCAAGCTTGATAAAGAGATACAACTTTAGCAGATGGTATACAGTTTCCAAGAAAGATCGGAAGTAAGATTTAATCCTAGAAGATGGAAGATAGATGACTCATTGAGTACATTACCATTCATAAATGTAGGAAGATCTAAATTATTGTGATTACAATTGGCTGAAAAAATTGAGTTTTATCTGAATTAAAGTTCACCAGCCACTGTGAGCCCCATGTTGTTGCAGAAGTAAGATCCTTTTCAAGCTCAAATGCCC